GGGCGGCCGGACACGGGTGGCACCCGCCCCACGCTGCCCCTTAAGCACCCCCTACTCCCCCGCCCCGGCTGCGAGACCCTCACCCTCCCTGGTGGGAGGTGCGGGGCGGCAAGCTGGCACTTTGGGGTGCAGTTCGGCTATGTGCGGGGGGATGCTCAGCCCCCGTGGCGGTAGGGTGCCCTCCTGCAGCCCCACAGCTGGGGGCCACGGGGGGAAGAGGGGAGATCAGCAGCCCCAGTCCGGTGTGAGCATCAGAGCATCCTCCACAGGGACCTGTGCACAGGGGGGCTGCAGGATGGGTGAAGTGGGGGGCTACTGGGGCACCCCCCCAAAATGCGTCCACCCCAGAGCCAGGATGATTTTTAGCAAGCCACTTGCTGGCCCCTTGTTTGGGCTTCAAAGTCTGGACCTCTCTGGGTGATGTGCACCCACTGCTCTGCTCTCTGGCTGAAGCCACCTATAACGGCGGTATTAATCCTCACTGCCTGGTCCTCTCCCCATAAGGGCAGGATTTGCTTTTCCTGTTCTGGGGCTGTTGTGGAAAGAGCAGGATGGGGGAAACTGAGGCACCATCGAGCCCCTCGCCCAGCACTGGCATGTTGTGCAGCTCAGGACAAGGGTGGTCCAGGTGAGGGGCAGCGACGTGTGTGAGCTGTGGCTGCAGCCTGGTCATCTCCAGACAGTTCTGCATCCTGCCACAGGGAAGGGCAGGAAATCCGCTCCCTGCTCCAGCAGAGCAAGGCTGGATACAGCCTCATCCTGCCCCTGCACTCAGCACATGCCCCGTTGGTACCCCAGTTTGGGGGATGGGGCTGCCTCTGCACTGCACAGTGCCAGCACAGCAGACCCCAGCCCCCAGGCAAGCAGTGATACAAATAGACATTGTCATGATGGAGGTGAGATTAAACGGGTCGGGGAGGCTCAGTTCCCTCTGACCGGTGCCTCCTTCGGCCCAACACTGAAGGCCCATGAACCAGCCTGTCCCCAGGACCTGTCCCTTACCTGCCCCACCACGGGTGGCAGGTTGAGGGTCCCATGGGTGGCAGGTTGAGGGTCTCACACCCACGTGGAGCTCCTGCAGAGACAACTGCCGCAGCTGAGGGCTTGGGCAGCCTCCTGCAGGCACATGGGTCTGGAGTTGGTCATCATGAGCTGCTCGGGTGGGAGAGTGCCATGGCCACGTGCTGCACAGGGGGACGAAACGCGCTGTCATCATCCTCCCCGCGCTTCATGGTGATGTGATGTTTTGGGCCAGAGGTCTGAACTAACAGCTTCCCCCCAAGTGAGGGTGAAATGCTGCTGTGTTTTGCTGTGGGAGTGATTTAGGGGATAAAATATCCTCTCCCCGGTCACCAAGCCTGGGCCCTGTAGGCCCCCGGCCGCTTCCCATCTGGAGGCTGGCAAAAGGCAAAGACATTGAAAACATGGATAAGGAGAGCAGCTGGAGCCTGGGACACGTCTGATTGGCCCCCAGTGCCACAACCTAATAGAGATCCATTTGGTAAGGTAGCTTGCAGCCTCCAGAGCTTCCCGAAAGAGATAAAAAGCCAGTGAGGTGGAAGAAAACTGCGTGTCTCCAGAAGCCATGCTTTCCCCAAATCTCGGAGGGGCTCTCTGATGAAAGGCCCCATCGGCTGGAAGTTGCAGGCATGGGGGTCGTTAGCACTAATAGCCAGCAGCAGCAATGGCCTTGAGAGAAGCTGCGCAAGCAAAGTTTGGTGGCTGCCCAGGTAATGCCAGCAATCATTTCCCAGGCAGTGGGCAATTGCTCCCGACGTGCATGCGAGCAGAGCCGCCCCGGAGGCCTGGAGGCTTTAGCAGGCTGTTAGCAGGCTGAGCGAAAAACTGGCCAAAATCAGGGACTTTGCTGGAAAATGGTTGCCTGGCATGACCCGGGAGAAAAGGAACAGTTTTAAGGGGGAGAGGGTGTTCACCGAGTGTGAAGCAGCCGATTTGAAGGGTCTCTGGGAGAAAGAGGGAGGGAGGGAAAGCTGCTTGCAGGCGTTAGCTGCATGCATCAACCCAGAAGGAAACGGAACCCAAGGGCACGGCGTGGAGGAGCACCCCTCCAGCACGTCCCTGGCATGCAGGGCAAGACCCCGCAGCGGCTGGCTCTGTGCCGTGCTGGCACCGGGGGCTGCAGCCGTCAGCCCTGCTGAGCCGTCAGCTCATCTTCATCAAATACCCCCCCCAGCCACTAGCTGCATCCCAAAAGGGAGGGAGCTACGCTAGGGAAATCCTATAGCCTGGCACCCACACCTCTCACATCCCCAGGAATCAGTGGCAGGACCCAGAGGAAAATTCAGGTTCGCAGGGACCTCCGGAGAAAAAAGCAAAGGACATGCTTGAGACGTCCGTGGCCACTTCTGGGGATGGGGATTTAGGAGAGGAGCTCCAGTAGGCTTTGGCCATGAGCCTTGAAGGATGCCATGGAAATATCCCCTGCGGTGACAACGCCACCCAAACTACAGAAGAGTGTCTCCACGCCTGCAGAAATAGGATACGGGTGGTTCAACACTGAGTGGGGAGGGATACACCAAGTGCTGACACTATAAACAGAGTGTTTCTGGCAGGGCACAGTGATCTGTTCTGGCCAAAGAGCCCGACAGACCCAGATCCCTGCAGATCGTGGGGGTACAAGCCAGGCAGAGCTGCCAGATCCTTGCCCAATGAAGAGGAAGAGGAGGAGGAAAGAGCCATCACCATCACTAAGGGGAAGCAAAGTCACAGGAGCCTCCCTGAGCATGGGAGGCTTTGGGGTGCAATCAGAGCCCCGGAAAAGCCAACGGTGGGTGGTCAGAGCCCCAACGCTACCCAGGGAGCCCCTCCTAGAGCTGAGAAGTCAGAGACATTTGCCTCAAAAAGTGATTTTTGCCATGCAGGGCTGAGCTGGGCACGGGCCGAGGGGTGAATGGAGGAAAGGATGTGGGTATGGGGTGGATGCCCCACGCTGATGGGCTGTGCCAGGGCAGGAGGCCCTGCCAGTGTGCCGAGGAGTGCTGCTGGGGTGGGTTTTGCCGCTTGCAAATCAGCAGCTAACGCCTGACATCGTCAGCTGGGAAGAGCTGAAGGCGAAAGAAGGCTGTCAGGAAGAGCTTCCAGCACGCTCTGCAACTCCATCCCCTGCCTGGAGGCAGAGGAGAACCAGAGCTCCTGCCACCGTCCCCGCGGGTACGTGAGGCACTGGCGTCCCCTGCGCCTCCCACCATCCCCCGGGACACTGCAGAGACACCTGTTCCTTCCAAAATTTCTGCTACTGAAGCTGATGAACTGGGGAAGAGGATCTCCTTGCATTTCTCTTCACTGTGGGGGAAATTTGTTTGGACATCAACATCCCACTGGGAGGCCCCGAGTTTTCCCGGACCCACTGTCTGGGACTGGGATAAGGGATCCCCAGGGTCAGGTGTTGGGCTAATGTGCAGTAAGATGCTGCTCCCCTTCACATATCCTTATGGGCTTAATGGATGAGGGAACCCAAAGGAGAGCTTGGGCTTCTTGTGTCGGTGACAGAGAGCTAAAGCAGGGGAAAGTTAAATGCACTGGGGGGGCACAGGGACGTGGTAGCGGCAGGGCCCAGAGCAGTCCCCAGCCACCCTATTTCCAGCCCAACGTGCACAAGGGTTTTATTCCCCTGCCTGTGCTTGATGCTCTGGCTGTAAAATGGCTGTAAAAGAGCAATTGTGCCTCATAACGGCTTATAGAAAACACAGAAGCATATGTGCCTTTACCATTATGATCATAATTGCAAACATTCAAAAGTTGAGATTTGCAAGCTCCCAGCTTCCCAAAGGCGGCTGGATTCGAACCCAAATGACATGCAGAGGAATCAGGAGAAAATCAGCTCAAAGCGAGGGCTTATTTTTCATTTACGCTGCGGTACAGGCGAGCAGGCTCCGGCTGGCAGCCCCAGCTCCCCCAGCTGCTGCTGTTAGAGGGCAGCTGTGCCCCCAGATACAGCCGCAGAGGCCCCCGAGCATCGGCTGTGACTACCAGGGTCCCAGTGGGGCTGGCTGCATATGGCCTTTGCATTTAGGATGAATCCTGGAGACCGTGCCGGTGGCTGGGGCTGCCCAGGTAAACGCTCCTCCCTGTGCAGGCAGGCAG